TCAGTTTTGTGTTTTGAAGAACATAAGCTATGCAAGGGGGAAAATAAAGCACGTAAGGAGAGGAATGTGCATGGCTGGTGCCTCGGTGTGGGTCAGGGGACGGGCGCACGCGTGCCTTGGTGCACGACAACTTCTTCACGTGTCGGGGTCGCTCAGCCCCTCTGTTTCTTGTGCCGATTCAGAAGCATTTTGAACCTTGGCCTGGGTCACCAGCTCTGTCGATCGGGTGTTTTTTCAACTCCTTTCATCTTATGAATAAGATTTTTTTTTCTTCCCATTCAAGCAGCTCGTTCCTCTTCGCTGCAACGTGTCCTCAGGTGCCGTACGAGCACCGCGACGGCTCGTCTTTACCAACAGACGCTGCCTTTCCACTCCCAGCCTGCTTCGTTTCCTGCTGGTTATTTTGAGTTCCTGCCTGGTACGTACCACGAGAAAACAAATCCACCAACACCTCCAGGGTTGCTGGGCTTGCAGAGCACCAGCTCCCCGCGTTTGTCAGGATATGGGAGTTGCAGGAGGAGGAGTGTTTGGCCTTTGGACACTCTGCGGGGTTGGTGGGTGAATGAGCGGAAGCAGAGCGTTGGAGCCCACGGCCCAGCTGTTGAGCTTGCTCTCGCAGTTTCAGAGCATCCAGTGTCAGCTCTCGAGAGAGAAAACCTGTGAGAAAACCCAGTCCCTGAAACACAAAATGGTTTTGGCAAATATCTTCAGCAGAGAGACCGATACTGAAGAGCCTTTACGTGCTATCCCTGCCACAAGCGGGACCGATATTTGCTGTCGCTAACAGCAGAATCTCCCTGCTCCGTTCGGTTGTGTTCTCACTGGTTCTTCCCACACCTGTTCGTATTGGAAGTCCCTGGTGCCTCCCCACACTGGTCCTCGAGTCACACAATTCCCGAAGGGCCATTTGGGTTATTCTTTAAAACTAGGGAGGCTCCTTTTCAACTACCAGTACATTACTTTGTCATGAAGATGTTTTCTCCTTCAGCCATCGCTACAGAGAGCCAGCAAACTCCAACCTCTCCAGGTCTGCCTGTCCCCTTCTGAAGAGGGACAAAATGATTAAGGAATCCCACCCTAAATTCCCACGTAAAGTATGAATTCTTCTTGGTTCACCACCTTAACAGGTGACTTTCTGAAAGAAACCTCTACACTCCAAAAGTCGCCATAGGTTTACTCGATTTTTCTCCACAAGTTGGAGCTTTTAAGACTCTTCTCTGCCTCTCAGTGTCCACAGGCACATACTGTCAGGAGGCCAGCCTGCCTCACCCGTGCTCCCGAGACACCTCCCCGTGCGTTCGCACACACTCACCCGGCCCGTGACCCTCCGCTGCTGACCACCAAGCCTCGTTTTGCCGCGGCATTGGCAACATCTGCAGCTCTCCGAGATGTTTCTGGCAGCTTCAGAGAGCTCCTCGCTCACCTCTGGTGAAGGTGATGCTGCAGACATGGCAGCCGAGTCACATGCCAGGTTCACAAGGACAATATTTCAACTGCTCTTTGACTGACGCAGCTGGAACTTCTCCCAGCACCGAAGGAAAACGCAGGTTGTCTCAGCTGAAGGAAGGATGGTCCCTTATTCTCACCAAGCTGAGGTTCTTCAAGAGTCAGCAGACACTGCTGCACATCCTCCGGCCTAGCTCTTCGTAAAAAAAACCACTGAATTTCTGTGGTTTTCTTGCCTCCAGTTGTTATTACTTTAAACCTGAAGATTATTTGTTTCATCTACGGCCTGGAATGTGACAAGGTTAGCTATGAAAACAGATTCTCTTTCTTTTTCCTGTAGGATAAAATAAGCCTGCGGTTGTCTGAGAGTCTGTAGATATTTTCAAAGCTCTGCATTGAGCAAGTATTTTGTCACTTAAAAAAATCGAGGGAATCGAGGGAACATCGCGATGGTTCCGTGCTCTCTGTCCCTACCTACGAGCAGAGCGAGGCGAAGGGCTTGGCCTGGAGAGATGGGAGCTGAGAGAAACCACGTCTCATCAGCCCGGAGCATCTGTGCAGCTACAGCGGGACAACATCAACAGCGTCATATCGAAAGGCTCCAGGGGCTGGGAGTTTGTCCTGGGCACCGCCTGGCCCGAGCTGCTACAGAGAGACAGCCAAGAACTGCGACGTCGCCTGGTCCAGCTCCCAGTGGAGAGCTCAGAAAATTTGGGTAATGTTGCCGTTTCCCCTTGTTTGAGGGCCGCATAGCAAAGCTGGGTATCACTTACGGCAAAGAAGAAAATTTGGGATGTGCCGAAAGCGCACATCCTGGTGAAAAAAGAATTTCCATCCATCAGCAAGCTGCAGATAGCTGCCCGATTAGAGAATCACTTTCTACAGAGGACTTGTGTCCTGCTCCGCAGAAAATTACGTCTTTTTTATTTTTTATAAGGAGCTCTGTACATTTTGGATTAGCAATTAGCATTTCCAGGATCTGCAATTATTAACCAAAGCGATGTTTAGAGGAATATGTGACATGCTGGGAGGCATCCTAATACATATTTAAAGATTTTTTTTAATTTTTTTTTGTTGGAAGTGAAGCGTGCTCATTCATATTTCGAGCAGGAATAAATAAAGGCCTGTCAGAGGGGAAAAATAATCTATTCTGTAGCACTGCAGAGAGGGGATAAATAGCCCCCAAAGGCCCCTTTGTACTTGGGAAACTTTGGCAATTAACTGTTTAGCATACGAACAAGGAGAACTTCCAAGCAATAGAGGAGAAAGGGAAAAATTCCCTCAAAAGTACTGTCTGATCTCCTGGTCCCACAAGTGACAAAGGATCAGGGCACCGCCTCAGATCACCGCGAGGAGTTAAGATGCTTTAGAAAAAGCCACACAAGTGCCCGGGGGCTGTATTTCAAAAGGACTAATGACAGCTATTGTCTACAAGATCATCAAGAAAGAGGCTGTCACAGAGGGCCAGGAATTTACGTAACAAAAGTATCGCACTTGGAAACTCTCAGAAAGCCCTTAACTCCCCAAATCCTGCTGCTTCCACATTTGCCCCCCGGGCAAATTATTTTTTTTTTCCTCTTATTTTCTTCTAATTATTTTTCATCTCTCCTCCATCCTAAAGAGTTTATGGCAAACACCTACGTACTCGAGGGGTGGCTTGGGACACGCCGATGCATACGCACCCAAAACTGCCACGCTTCAGGCGAAACCAGTGTACCTCCGGTACACCAAATGACTCGAAACGTCAAACCCTACTTTTCAAATTTGAATGACTTTGCATATCGTGGAACCAAAGGTTGGAACAGACTTTCCTTGGAGGAAGGATCCACACGGCTGGCTGGTTGGTCTGCATTCATAAAACAACTTCCCTCTGTATTTGTGTCATACTCCTCTTACCTCGACGCTGTTTGAACGCCTTTCCAAAGCAATTAAATCCAGGCACGTTACCTGGATTTTCTCACATCATCCTACATTATTTTCTTGTCCACATCCAGGGGCAAAAAAAAAGAGATTACTGTGGGTTGTTTTTTTTTTTCCTCTCGTCTATACCTGCTAAAGAAACTGTGTTAGAGCAGGGCTGGGTGCCCGCTTTGCCCAGCCGAGCACCTTGCAGCCCTGCCCTGTCACACACCAGGACTCGGAGCACCCCTGAGAAAGCAGTTTCTTGTAGGTGACAAGAATTTCTCGCTAAATACGTGAGTGGATTTTCAAATTTGACAAACAACCAAGGCAAAACCTCAAGGAAAGCGCAGTAAAGGGAGTCTGTGAAGCTGTTATTCACAGGTACGGTTTCTAGCCTGTAGTGGGGTTTTGTGAGATATTCTGTCTAGTAAGATTGTCTCAGATGCAATTTCTAATGATGCTGATCGAAGGAGCTAATCTGGTACCACGAAACTAAGATACCAGAACTTACTTTCCGTGCTGACTTGAGTTGTTGAATCCCTCTTTCTGTTCACATGACATACTTTTCTGCTTTTTTCCTCCCCATATACAGACTTTTTTTTAGTCTCCTTGAGAGCTGAGCCTTAGGCCTGACAATTGACTGTTTTCCCAACGATCAGTTTAAATGTCTCTTCATACTGAGGAACCAGCAGCCCTGAGAGACAACTGAAGCAACTGAGAATCCCTGGTTTAACCGATCCCGTGGGGCAGGACCAAGAGGAGAAGGGGTCACGTCACTGGGCTGTGAGGGAACGCCAAGAGATAAAGGAGCAGGGAGGGGGACTCCAGGGAGAGGGTGTTCAGGGAGAGATAAGTGTGGAGAAGAGGGAACTGTTGGGGAAACCAGCCTGAGAAGAAAGGAAGGGCAGCAGAACTGTTGGATTACAACCCAGCTCCATCCGTATGGGAAGCGGCTTCAGCTTCCCAGGGTGTGTTTGCAGCCAGCAAGAAGGAGATAGCGTGGATCAAAACCCCCGGAATGAAAGAAACAGAGCAAAAAAAAAGAGGAGACAGCGGCTGTCTGGAGGGAGGAAGCAGCCTCGCGGGAGTTGTGCTCATAACAAGAGTTTGGAGCTGCTTTAAACACGGAGCAATCCCAGGACCGACTGGATTCCCAGGAGCTGAGCCCATCCCGGCAGCCTTGCTGTGCTGGTGCTGCGCAACTGCTCCTCGGGAAAAGGGGACGAACTTGGGAGTTAGATCAGATAAAGCCTTGTCACGCTGAATTTTGCTCTTTCTGAGTATTTTGCTGGGGACTCAGGTCCCAGACAATTTAACCGTTTACCTTACCCACAATTTACATTCCAAAACCTGTGCTTGGCAAGACTAGTGGGAAGGGAGCAATGAAACTCCCCGCTCTCTTAAGTGGATGAATGTGGAAAAAAAAAAAAAAAGAAACATCAGGTGAAATTCTCCCACTCGAAGTTTCAAGGAGAATATATTTATCTTTTGCATCGAAAAAACGTTCGGGGTACTTCCCCTTTCCGTAGAACAAAGTCCGATGCCCACGGCACGGCGTCGTCCTGGTGTTGGCACACAGAGACGTCCCGCAGGCTGAGCGATGGAGTAAATCCCATCCGTGGTCCAGGAGAAGCGGATCCCGGTCACCGTCGCTACAACGACATCCCGCTTCGCTTCTTCGAGTCCTTCCGTGCGATGGGACTGAAGGACAAGATCTCCTTGTAAATATGCTCTGAGGAAACAGAACAAAAGAACCACAAACGTGTGATTTTTAGGGACCACAAACGAGGGGTTAGATGTCGCACAGGCAGAGAGGAGGTGGTTGGTGGGAAGGATACGGCAGGTACAAGCTGGAAAAGAGCAGAGAGGCGAAAAGAAAATCTTCTCAAAGAGCTGGAGGGGTCTTTGCTGAAAAGCAAACCAAGGTAAGGGAGACGCGTGCGATCACCGGGGCAATCGCAGCCTTACTCAGCGCATGCACAGGGAAGAGCGAAAGGCAGGAAAGTCCCGTGCTAGACAGGAACTTCGACGATAAACTTACTTCTCCACTCATTTATTGAAAGGTTTTCATGTTCCAAAGAATCATCGTAGGACTGTTGCGCTTCCGTCTCCTCCTCAACGTCTCGGAACTGGTCGAAATAAGGGTGAGCCAAGGCCTCTGTGGCTGTGAGGCGCTTTTCCACATCGAGCTGCAACATCTTGTCCAGCAGGTCCACTGCTGTAGGAGAAGACAGGGAGAGGGCTAAGCGAGGTCCCTGCGAGCAACAGGACTCATGTTTCCTGGTCAGCATCTCCAGACACGAAAATGAGTGAGATTCCTCAACCCAGCCAAGGGAGCGTGGAGCTCCCGTCAGTGGGGATGCAGAGTCTGCCCAACTGCAGCCTCAGGGAGCTCTTGCTGACAGAACCGGAGGTGTAAATGGTGCAGAAACAACAAATTAGTCTTGAATAAGCTTTGCTGCACCGATGGGGCTGCAAGGACCTGAAGAGCAAGCCAGTCACTTTAAGATATTTTTCAGTTTTAATCATTTGCTTTCACTCTGACCCCCGCAACTCAAAGTAGTCTTAACATGAGTTATCTATACGGAAATCTCTACATCCCTGGTAAACAGGAAGGCAAGAAACTCAGATACCAAGTAGTCTGTCAGCCCCCTTCCCCCTTGGTTTTGACATTTTAATGCTTTCTTCCCCTCAGCTTTTAGAGCACTTTTGCTCACTCTCACCTCTAATCTACTTGGGAGAAGAGCTCCTTGTAAGAAATCAATTTTTACCCTGAAAATTGCACATCTCAGCTGCCTGCGAACTATCAACAGATGCAGGTTCAACAAACAGTTGAAATTTAAGCTGTACTCTTAAAAAAAAAAAATCAAAATAATAATAATAATTTAAAAAAATAAGTACATGGCCAAGAACAGCAGGACTTTGCCATTGTAATGCCAATAAAGAATCAGTTTGCTTTTAATTCATCTGTATTTGCCCTGGGGAGAGGCGAGGGCACAACCTGGAAGGGAGAAAGTAGCAAGAAATGGTGAGAAAGAGAAGAAATAAGGTTGGGGCTGGGGCCGTCAGCCCGCCTCCTTTCCAGCTGTGAAAACTGGAGAGTGACATGGGAGATGACTTACCCTGAGGATTGGCTTTGGGGAAAAGCACCGACAGATCCTTCTTGGGGATTTTTGGGAGGGACTTGATATAACTCTTAGCCTGGAAGAGAAAGGAGAGGACACTTACTGTGTGTGGACAAGTGTGAGGAGGCTGGGAGATATGAAAATACAAAACACAGCTCTGGGGTCTCATGGCTCAGGAGAGCAAAAGCAAAGGGAGAGAAGAGCAAATCATCCCAGATGTCGCCTTTCAGCGATCGCTTCTGCAAGGGGCTGCGTTTGTCAGCTGGGACAGAGAGATGTTCCTGCTGGGAGGGCCAGATGTGGAGAATGGAGGAGGTTGGTGGCAAGCACCTCACCCAGGAGTCCCGGCAACCCACGCCAGCTCCCAGCGCAACGCCAGCTCCATCAGACGTGCCGCTAGCAAAGAGAAACGGTGAAGGCTGCCGGTGCTCCTCTCCGCTGCTGCCGTAGAAGCAGCGCCTCTCCTGGCTCAGCCATGCGACCGAGTTAAAACCTCTCCCGCCACATCTGCCGCCAGCGAGACCTGAACCCGCAGCGAGCTTTCCTACCGCTTTGTCCTCCAGCTTCTCCACGAAGTCTTCTCCTGGATGCCCCGTTACTTTCAGGATCTGGGTGAGTTGATCTAGATCTGGGAGGCTGTGTTAAAGATCACCCGTCCAGGACTTGAGCCCCGGGCATCCCTCAGCCCTCAAGGACCAGTGGGAGCTACGAGAAGGTTGTGACACAAACCCAACAGAGCTGCACAAGCAGAGACACATTTGGCTGGCAAAAAGATCTCTGGGGCTTTTTTTTCCTGGGATGCCATCCTCGGCGGTGGATCATTTTCCTGGATATGGGAGGCTTTGGAGATGGAACTGTGGCCGCGCGAGGTCAGGCTGCTGATGCAGAGCACACGTGGCCAGCATGGAAGTGGATTTCTAAGTGTGGCTTGGCCACCTCCTGTCTTCTCTCTGTTTTCCTCACCAGAAAGGCTGGTGTCTGCGATTACATCCCAGTAAACCGACTGACATCTGTTTTTCTCCGTAGCCTCATTCATAGCAGCCCTTTCACACACCCCAAGAATTATTACTCCCCCGAGGCAAAAGGTTCAGCTTGAAAGGATACAGTCTTTTCCTTTAAACAACGTTTTCCCGGTCAGCATTTCTGCCATGATACAGCCGATAGACCAGATATCCACTGTTCAGAGAGAAAAAGGAAAAGAATAAAAAAAAAAAGACGAAAAGGACAGTAAAAGGGCAGCAATGATTGCTGAGGCTGTTGCTTGCTTTGTGGTTTGCAGAAGGCACTGATTTAAATTTCACTCCAAATTTCCACCCTCCCCTGCTTTTCCTATGCTGCTAAAATCTCTGCTTTCATCATCTCCCGCAGGCACTAGGCTTTTGGGACTCGCTCCGCTCTGGGAGATACTGATGATAAAGAAGAAAAACATCCGAGAGGATGACGCGAGACGTGACCCGGGTGTGACAAGCGGGATCCTCGCGCTCGTCACTGGCCGGTCCCGTCCCGCGCCTCGTCCCTGGCCGGCCCCGCCACGGAAGCGAGGCGGCTCACCTGTCTGGTTGTAATGCATCCAGTTGAGGATGACTTCTGGGGCTCTGTACCAACGCGTCACCACGTAGCCGGTCATTTCCGCATCGGCGTGTCTGGCCAAGCCAAAATCCAAGATCTGCAGGTCACCAAAGGAAGAGGGAGAAGGAAGGGCAGGGAAGAAAAGAGAAATCCTACGGGCAAGTGAGAATCTACTTCTAAGAGGAAACGAAGGAGATCAGATCAGATGATAACGAAGCTCCAGCTATGCCACAGCCACCTATGGGATGGCGTGAAGAGCTAACAGGTTTGTCTTAATTCCACTGTGAGTTGCAAACTGGCTGCGAAACCTGTTGTGTGAAGACCCTCCCCGAAAGGATCAGTGCTGTGCGCTACCTGGAGGGTCACTTCCTTTCGCAAAGCTTAAATTTTGACTCCATGAGCTTTGTTTAACCAAGCAGTTCTATCAGCTGGCAGCGGAGGCGTGCTCCCAGGCCTCCACGACTCACCCTTTCCTATAAAAACCACCCTGCAGCTCTCAGGAGATGGCCTCTCCCTCAATCCTGGAGATAAACAGAGCTTGACCCAACCTTTACGGGCAACGCAGCCACTCCCTGTCACATACATTACAGAAAACATGGGCACAGCACTGCACAGCTTGGCAAGCTGCAAGCAAACCCTTCCGAGCAATACTGCAAATAACTTGGTCTGGAATCACAACCATCATGTCAGCGAGAACCAAAGGGTTCGGAACCATCCCTGACCGATGCCAGACCTTTGGTTCTCACTGTGGTTGAACCCGGTGTTCCCTCAGAGGTCGCTTGCCTAACTCGAGCATTGCTCAGCAGTATTGAATTTATTTAGGAAGTCGTTAGGAGCTGCCGCGCCGCAGGAATTGTGGTGACAGGATGTTCATTCCAAGTCTCGGGCCCTGATTCAGCAAGTTACATCAGCAGGTGAGTATTTCCCACCGCCTGCAACCGCTGAGTAACGAAACGCCTCGACTCGAGTCTCAGGAGGAAAACAGGCC